AAAGGAACAGCCCCTTTTTAGTGGCTGGGGTGCCAGGAACGTGCCACTGCCTCACCTCCCGCTCCCCTCAGGTGCACCAAGATCCTGGACAAGAACGGCGAGCCGCGGGTGTTCAAGGTGAAGGACAGGGACGAGATGGTGAAGAAGGTGATCGAGCCCATGGCCTGCCACGGGCTCAGGACCATCTGCCTGGCATTCCGGGATTTCCCTGCGGAGCCGGAGCCCGACTGGGACAGCGAGAACGAGATCCTGTCTGAGCTGACCTGCATCGCTGTGGTGGGGATCGAGGATCCCGTACGGCCCGAGGTACCAAATCCCACCTGGCCCCCCCGGCCGGGGCTGCTCCCAGCCCTTTTCCTGCTGCTCAGGGCTGTGATCCCCTCAGGAATTCCAGCAGCTCCCTGTGTCCATCCTGGATGTGCCCCCAAGGAATTCCAGCAGCTCTTCTATCTCCATCCCTAATTTCTCCTCAGGAATTCCAGCAGCTCCCTGTGCCCATCCTGGATGTTCCCCTCAGTATTTCATGTGTCCATCCCAGCTGTGCCCTCAAGGAATTCCAGCAGCTCCTCTGTGTCCATCCCAGATGATCCCCTCAGGAATTCCAGCAGCTCTTCTATGCCCATCCTGGATGTTCCCCCAAGGAATTCCAGCAGCTCCTCTGTGCCCATCCCTGACTTCCCCTCAGGAATTCCAGCAGCTCCCTGTGTCCATCCTGGATGTTCCCCCAAGGAATTCCAGCAGCTCCCTGTGTCCATCCTGGATGTTCCCTTCAGGAATTCCAGCAGCTCTACTATGCCCGTCCCTGATTTCCCCTCAGGAATTCCAGCAGCTCCTCTCTGCCCATCCCTGATGTGCCCCCAGCTCCCTGCTGTGGGCATTTCTCTCCCACTTTTGGACAAAACAATGCCACGGCACCCAAAATTCCCGATCCTTGGGGTCTGTGCTGCTCCAGGCTGCGCCAAAGGCGGATGGAAACAGCCAGGAAGAATCCCTGGGCTGCTGGAGCTGGTTTTCCCTCTGAGCTGTGTGCTGGCTAATGCAATAATCCCCCTGTTCCTGCCTCTGGATGCAGTTTGGAGCTCCCCTGGTCCCTGATGAGATGTTCAGGGATCTGGCAATCTGGGAATTGCATTAGGGATCCCCAGCTGCAGCGGCTCTGGAGGCTCCTGATTCGATTTGCTCATTGCTCACTCCAATTTCCTCTCTTCCCCCTCTGCTCCCTGATGGCTAAACCCAGCAGAGGGGTGGCAGAGGATGAAATTCCTGCTTTTATGGACGGCCTTGGCACCCAGGGAGGTGACAACAAGGTGGCAGTGAGGTCCCATCCCCTTGGGGTGGCAGATGCAGCTCCCCCACCCCTCCAGAGCCTTTTCCAGATCCTTTTAGGACGAGGAGGCAAAGATTTATTAAAATGTGATGACAGCAACCCCAGAGCTGCTGGGGAAGTCCCTGTCCCCTGTGTCCCCTCACCTTGGGTTCTGAAACGCGGGTGAAAAATCAAACCCCACATTTCCAATAAAGATTTGTAGGGAATGGTTATGTTTATTTACAGTGCTGTGGACGCATGTCAGGACTCATTTCCTTTAATGGATATGTGAACCTCTGAGAACTCCTCATCCTTTTTTGTTACTCTTATTAATTTCTATATGTATAAAATTTCACAATAGGTCAATGCATGTTTGTTCTGCTGATTTCACATTATGATTACAGCTAGTTGTACTTAGTTTTTGTCAGAAAGTACAGAAAGAACTCTTGGGTTACTTTGCCCTGCTCGTTTTAAGGTCCGAGGAGTTTTTTTTTGTTTCTTACCTTTCAGTGTGGAAATTTGCATTCTTTCTCCTTAGCTGGGGTAGCTTCGCCAGGCCTGCAGTCACCAGACTAAACAGCACATTTAGCAAGCTCAAAGTGGCACATTCCACCCAAATCCAAACGGACTGCTACCCTGTTAAACTCTCAGTTCCCAGTGCCAACCCTGCCCGTGTCCCCAGGTGCCCGACGCCATCCTGAAGTGCCAGCGCGCGGGCATCACCGTCCGCATGGTGACGGGGGACAACATCAACACCGCCCGCGCCATCGCCACCAAGTGTGGCATCCTGCTGCCCGGGGAGGACTTCCTGTGCCTGGAGGGGAAGGAGTTCAACCGCCTCATCCGCAACGAGAAGGGAGAGGTGGGCAGCT